GGAGTTTTCCCTTTGTGTGCATGATCTTCATCCCCTTCTCACTCATATGACCGAGTCTCTGGTACTACAGCCTTGAAGTCTCATCGCCTGCTGTAGCTGAGATCAAACAACGTACACTTGCTGTCATATATATGGTACCAGTCTTCTTACTTTAGGCAATCATCATTATGTCTTTTGAAATCCTCCAATCATCAATATTGAAAGTCGTAGTGTAGCATTCACTAGCCAACTGGCTTACTGAGATTAAGTTCTTTTTTAAGTTGGGAATATGTCTGACATCCTTCAGCTCTCATACTGACTCATTCAACTTAATCTTCACTATACCTTTGCCAATAATGACACATAGTTGATCATCACCAATGTATACATTTCTAAGGTTTACGGGGATATACTTCTTGAGGAATTTTCTGAGAAGTAGCATGGAATGATGTTGTAGAGTCCAACACCCAAGACTCCTCCTTGCTCTTCAAAGAGCATATCAATGCATCATCTCCTCCTGAGGTGAAAGCAATATTTATATCTGCCTTTGCCTCCCGCTCCTTCTGTGCACTCTTGCACTGATTCTTGTAGTGCTCGGTTTTCCCACACTTCCAACACTCGATAGCCTTCGAGCTGTTGGGATTCCTAGATTTAGACCTCATGTCCTCTGATCTATTTCCTCTGATTGAATTTCTACCTCTTGACTCTGTAATACTGAAGAGGTTGTAGCTTCACCTGACTCTCTCCGTCAATCGCCTCACTGAGAACCAGATCACGAGCGTCGTCGAACTTTAACTTGTTGCTTTCTGACGAGCTACTCACAGCTGTGACTGTAGCATTTCAACTTTCTGGTAGGGAAGACAAAAGGATCAGCGCTCGTACTTCTTCATCAAACTCAATATCAACTGAACTCAATTGGGTCGTGACTGTATTAAGTTCATTGAGATGATGTGCTACCGATACACCTTCCGTCATTTGCAGATTGAATAAATGCCTCATCAAATGAACTTTATTTGAGACTGATGACTTCTCATACATGTTTGAGAATGCTGTCATAAGACTCGTCGTCGTCTTTTTCTTTGCAATGTTAAAAGCAATATTATGGGTTAATGTCAAACGAATAACCCCGAGGGCCTTTCTGTCTAGAAGATTGTAAACTTCTTCCTTCATACCCTCCGGCTTCTTCCCCGAAAGGGGTTGATACAGATTCTTTTGGTACAAATAATCCTCTATCTGCATCTTTCAAAATCTAAAATCTGTTCCATCAAACTTCTCTAATCTCACATTTCCTTCATCTGCGGCTATCTCTCCCACTTGAATCTGACTTCCTCTAGATCATTTCAAGCTATGATAGCAGTTATTAGGAAATACTCGGGGCTACGCTAAACCCCTAAAATAGCAAAAACGTAGTATAGAGAAAGTACACCAAGATTTATGATGTTCGGCAAACTTGTTTACGTCCTCGGGAGCCACACAATTAATTTCTTATTAATCAATAAGAAACTACAATACAAGAGCAGATCTCAAACTTAAGATATCTTAATAAATACAAATCAACACTGTAGCTACAGTGTTGACCCCCTCTTTAATTCCCCTCCTTAAATCCTCTCTTCTTTAAATTTCCCCTTCTTAATTCCTCCCTCAAAATCAACGTGAGCGGAGAAAAAAGAGCAGAGAAGAAGAGAAGGAGGGGGTGGGGCGCCAGGGACTGAAATCGCGAGGAGAGAGAGAAGAAAAAACCATGGGGGCTAGGGCTCTGGGTTTCCCTTTTATAGAGAAACTGTAGCGCTGAGTTGTCGACAGGCTGTCGACAGCCTGTAAGAAGCTTGCCTGCGCTTGAGGAGCTCGCCTGAAAGTTCTCGAGCTCGCTTGCGCTCAACTTTGGGCTCGCCAACAGATCCACGAGCTCGCCCTCGCCTACTTTGCGTCGAGCTCACCTGATGTCGTTCCTCGCCCGAAGCCCGCCTGCAGATCTCGTCGAAACCTCGCCTGAAGCCACAACCTCGACTATGTGGGGTTCTTGAGCTGGCCTGACTCGCCCACACTCACCTGGGTCTTGGTTTAACTGGAGTGGAGCTTGCCCGCCACGAGCTCGCCTGAAGGTCACCGTCGTCTCAAGCTCCCTTGCAGGTTGGTCCACACTCAAACTAACATGGAGAACACTTAATTTTCAATTTTTTTCTCTTCCAACATAGGGTATTATTAGCATCCAGGACAAAATTGATTTTTTTTTAAGGAGTGATGGAAATAGGACTTTTTTTTGACACATAAAGGGTTGTTTCGTTACAGGAAATACAATTACAAAAGTAACTAGCGCAATCAAATTTCTATTTCTGCTTAGTTTGTTAAATGGGAATTAGTGAAGGTATGTATATTTACAAATTGTAGGAAATAACTGCAGCTAATGCTACGACTAATGTGAAGGGAGCAATAGTTGCAACTTCTAAAAAGGAAATCTAAAATTAAAAAAAAAGTCACCCAATGAAATAAAAAAATTCAATTTAAATCTAGAGAAAATCTCATAGCTTTTTTGCACCACTTTTTTCAACCAAACACTGAATTTGCGTTGAAAATACATTTTCCATCATAATATTACAAATAACCCGAACAACGTTAGTTACAATTCATTTTGCAGTAAAACCAAACAGGCCCTTAACAATATTTAGATGAGCGGTCAAGATCTGACCAGCACACCACCAAGAACCTTTAGAGCACACGTATCATGCATTCAAATTGCAATAAAACCAGCAAACCACGATCACACACAAGCCCAGCGCAATCCAAATTCAAACATCACACTAAAACATTACTTTCCACTCCTCTCCCCCACCCCCCCCCCCCCCCCCCCCACCCTCAAGACTCCTCTGCATCCTTGTGGCCGCAGGATATCCAATCCCTGCGATCATGTCGACACGAAAAACACGAAAAACTGAGCTCGCCAACCCCCCAACAACCGTCGGCATAACCATCGTCACCGTTTTCTGATTTGACTCCAGTGATGGATAGAAGCAGTTCACCGTGTTCGAATCAAGCATCGCGATGACTGCAAACACGAGGAAGGATGTTAATGCGTGGGCGAAGTCCCCGAGCCTGAGCTTGTACTTTGAGAGGTCTTTCTTGCTGGCGTCAGGGTCGGAGAAGGACCAGAGACCGTTCTTGGTGACAATGCCATAATAGAGCTTGTTGTTGTCGCCTATGTAGCTGTCGGTGAAGCAGGAGAAGCAGCAGGA